TCCCAGCTCCAATACTGTTGGCATTGGTAGCAGGAGAAGCTGCTGGCATCATGGAAAACATAAGTGATGATGTGATTGTGGGTCGGTGCCTGGCCATTCTAAAGGGGATTTTTGGTAGCAGTGCAGTGCCCCAGGTAAGTAGGTGGGAGACAAGTGAGGTCTGAGTTCAGATTGCTCCAGGGTTTGGCCTGACCTATATTCATGTTTGGCATAAGTTCTTGTTCGTGTCAAAACTGTCTGTGCTTAGATCTCATGAACCTCAGTGTTTAGAACTCTGCTGTACAAATGACACTCGGGAAGATGGCGACTGTGTCGGTGTATGAGACCCCGGAATGCCGTCTTGGAAGCCGATTTTGCAAAGAAGGGGTTCAAGCTTCCTAAAGCCCGGAAAACTGGCACTACCATTGCCGGGTTGGTCTATAAGGATGGCATAGTTCTTGGAACAGATACAAGAGCAACTGAAGGGATGGTTGTTGCTGACAAGAACTGTTCAAAGATTCACTTCATAGCCCCTAATATTTACTGTTGTGGTGCTGGGACAGCTGCAGACACAGACATGACAAGCCAGCTCATTTCTTCCAACTTGGAGCTCCACTCCCCCACCACTGGGCGCCTTCCTAGAGTTGTGACTGCCAATCAGATGCTGAAGCAGATGCTTTTCAGGTATCAAGGTTACATTGGTGCGGCCCTAGTTTTAGGAGGAATAGATGTTACCGGACCTCACCTCTACAGCATCTATCCTCGTGGATCAACTGATAAATTGCCTTATGTCACCATGGGTTCTGGCTCCTTAGCAGCAATGGTTGTGTTTGAAGATATGGAGGCCAGATATGGAGGAGGAAGAGGCTAAGAAGTTGGTGAGTGAAGCCATTGCAGCTGGCATCTTCAATGACTTGGGGTCTGGGAGCAACATTGACCTGTGTGTCATCAGCAAGAACAAGCTGGACTTTCTTCGCCCATTCTCAGTGCCCAACAAGAAGGGGACTAGGTTTGGCCAGTACAGGTGTGAGAAGGGGACCACTGCAGTCCTGTCTGAGAAAGTCACCACTTTGGAGATTGAGGTGCTGGAGGAGACTGTCCAAACAATGGATACTTCCTGAAATGTCAGCAGGTGCTGGATGCTGCCCTAGAAGACTGGGGGGCAGTGGAGCTCCATGGAAGATACGCATTTAACTGTTTGCTGAACAGAGCTCAATAAAAATGAAAACTACAGTAAGGAAAACAAACGACACTCAGAAAAGCCCCTAGAGCAGCTCTGTTCCTCCTCTGCCTATGGGGCCATATAACCCTGCCTTTTAGACAGAATAGCCTAACTCCAGTGAATTCCCAAGAGAATCTCTTCGTAAATTTTGTCCTTCTCTTTAGGCCCATTATAATGTTTAGCCCCTTATTTCTTTGATAAGCGATGTAGTGTCATGTATAAACTTATAAAAGCAAAAAGGTCAAGTCCTAGCTAGACCTTGTTTCTTATGCAACGCATAGTGGAAAGTTCATTCAGTTTGAAGTCTTCTTGACTTAGTGTGTCTAGAGCAACGGCGTCCACCGCCTGCCTCGTTTCCTGCCTCTTCCCCATGTACCCACCCACCATTTCTTGTCCACATTTCAGAGATGACTAGTTTGTCCTTGTTCCAATAATGACTTCTGCTCACGTTTTTTTCTTTTAGCCCAAGGAAACTGTGGTGTCTCGCTGGCGTGCTGACCCCTGGGCCCGGGGCTCCTACTCCTATGTAGCTGCGGGGTCATCTGGAAATGACTACGACCTGATGGCGCAGCCCATCACTCCCGGCCCCTCCATTCCTGGTGCTCCGCAGGTGAGAAGCCCGCAGACTCCATCTAGGTTTCTTTGGGAAACACCCAGTGTCCCAGGATCTTGGGGGAAAGATGTCACTTTTGTTTTGATTTTAGTCATCTGTCCTTAAAAAATACTTCAGATAACCCAAAAGAGAAATAGTACTTTGTGTGTCAAGTTTCTCATGTTTTAGCTTTGTAAAATCTAAGCACTCTACAGCAAATAGGAAAACTCCCAAGTATATGGAAATCAGTAACTTTTTTCCTTATTTCCATCTTAAAAAAAAAAAAAAAAATCCATTTTAAGTTGTACCTCACTTTGAAGGGACTCAGGATTATTGTGGAGTCTCAGGATCACTAGGGGCTTCATGGCATATCCAGGAAATTGCCTTGGGTCCTTGTGTAGATTTTTTTTTCCTTGTCTAGATTATCTGTCAATTCTTATTTTAAACAATAGTAAGGGCTCGTTGGTATAACCCAGACTCTGTGGTCTGTTCTGTTTTTGTTGCTGTTTTTTATTTTAGGGAAGGGTCTACAGGGTGTTCAGGGTCTCACTGCTAGATCGGACTCACAGTGATCCACCCATTTACAGCCTACCAAGAGCTGGGATTACAGGCGTGTACCACCATACCTAGTCTCAATTGCCGGGGGCAGGACCGGCATGGCAGGCCCATGGATCAAACCTGCTTGCAGGCACTTTAATCCACTGAGCTTTTTGGCTGGCCCACTGTGGTCTGTTCTGAGCTGTGGCACAAGTGTAATATTCTTGAATAAGAACAAATGCAATATTCCTGAGTAAGAACAAATGTTCTCTCTGTGGTCAAGACCAAGGTTAGAACCCTAACCCTGCTGCCAGAAGGTACCCTTCAGGAGGTAAAAAAAAAATCCTACAATTCAGCTGTCAGCAATACTGAGTAAGAACCAATGCAGTGAATAAGCACCGCTCCAGAAGTGGGCCTGGGGGGTCTCACTGCCTCACTTCTGTCAGTTTTAAGAAAATGCTGGTAAGAAACTGGTAGAATGAAGAGCCAGGAGCGAGTCGGGGGTGTAAGCCTAAATATAAAAGCTGGGTGTGCTGGCACATACCTGTTACTCCAGGCACCCTAGGAGGCTGAAGGAGGATTTCAAATTCAGGTGCAGCTTGGGTGACTTAGACCCAGTTGGCAAAAAAGCCTAGGGAGGTAGCTCAGAGTAGGGGCCCCAGGCTGACATCTCCAGCGCCACCAAAGGGTGGCGGGAAGACACAGGTGTATTTGCCAGCACACTGGAGAGCGAGGTAGCATTGTGAACTCTCACTATATAGTGAGGCCCTGCTTTTAAAAACCCAAGGTATGGGGCTGGCCAGATAGCTCAGCAGACTAAAGCACCTGCTTGGCAGAGCACAGCGGCTAGGTTCAATACCCGGTGTGCTGTGCCAGCCCTGCCTCTAGTGGGGGGCAACTGAGATGGAGAGTGGCAGCACATGCCTGTAATCCCAGCACTTGGGAGGCTGAAAACAGGAAGACCACTGCGAGTCCAATCTTTATAGTGAGACCCTGTAGAACCTGTCGTAAATACATTTAAAAAACAAAAAAAAAAAGGTCTATTTGTGACTTACTGTCTGCTTCTCACCTGAATAGCCAATCCCACGCCTCTTCTTTGCGGGAGAACATACAATCCGGAACTATCCAGCCACAGTCCATGGTGCTCTGCTGAGTGGGCTGCGAGAAGCAGGAAGGATCGCAGACCAGTTCTTGGGAGCCATGTACACACTGCCACGCCAGGCTACCCCCGGAGTCCCGGCACAGCAGTCCCCAAGCATGTGAGACAGATGTGCTGCAGAGGACAACGGCCTGGCAGTACTGGACAGCACTACGAAGCTCCTGCCCTGGTACCTGGGCGCACCATTAGCTGACAGGAGGTGTCCTGTTCTTAAAAAAGACTGAAGCAAGAAGGTGCTGTAAACCTGGTCTCTGGTGGTGGTGTGTTTTTTAATATTTTGAGAATAAAACTTCATATAAAATTAGTTTTTTTCTCTCTTTTGGGTTCTTCTCACATGCCTATTTAACCATCTGTTAGTAGTAGTCTGTTTAAACAAGAATGGTCTCGTTGAGGAAAGTGGCTTGGTCAGCTAGGAGGTGAGGCTGAGGGGCTCCTGTAAAGAGGACTTGCTGGCACTAGGACTTGATGTCCTTTGCTGGGACTGTACTGATAGGGTGAGTACATGGTTTTCAAGAGAAAACGGAGCTGGCTGGTCATGGTGGTGCATGCCTGTAATCCCAGCACACGGGAGGCCGAGGCAGGAGGATTCTTGCAAGTTCCAGACCATCCTGAGCCACAGAGTGAGCTCAAGGCCAGCCTGAGCTGCACAGCAAGGCTGTCTCAAAACAACAACAAAAAAGGGGGTTGAAACAGTTTGGGCCACTGGCAACCATTCTACCTTTATTCTCAGGTCCCTTCCAGGGGCATGTACTGCAGCCCTGGAAGAGCTGCAAGTGTCAGAGAAGGGGTGCGGGCTTAGGTGCCTTAGCTGACATCACACTACCACAGACTCAGTGAGTTAATAGGAAATCGCTTACAGTCCTGGATGGCCAGCATAAAGACCGCAGTTTGAACGTTAAAAGCAAATTTGGCCTGAAGGCCTGTTTCTTGCACTTTCAGCTTTTAGGGCTGTCTGCCCCTTCCCCTATAGTAAGACCACGTGTGCTTCATGTCTCCGGAGTCACGTCTACAGTCCTGTTCACCTCATCCAGTAGATGCGGAAGTAAACAGTAGTGTTCCTTCCTGAGGGCTCCTCACAGAAAAACTGTCACTGTGCAAGTGCCAGGAAGCTCGGGAATCAGATCACACTCAGCCTGAGCCCACCTTCCTGCGGTCCACATGAGGGCTTGTGAAGGGACAGCATGTGGGTGGTCCGACTGGAAAAAGAAGAAAAACTAACCGAGAGGACTGCATGCAGGGAACACGCTTGGAGTTTGGATCCATCTTGAACCCTGATCCAGTGGTGGGTGCTTCTAGTTTAAGTAAACGGCCCAGGCAGCTTGAGAGAGACTTTGTGACAAGCCTGAAAAAAGTTTAACTCTAGTTCACTGTAGATCCTAGACGTGTCCTTTTCCAGACCATTTTCAGACCTCCTGGCATCAGGAACTGGCATGTTATTTACCTGAAATGGTGAAATACACTGGCAGCTGTACAGAAAGGAGATGACATCAAGAAAACTGGCACCAGATTCGTGGAGCATATGGAAACTAGGGAGCTTTATTGGTTACATATTGTGCCGCAGAGCCAACAGAGAGCGCGTTCGAGCCAGAGGATACATGCAGACAGGCAGCTTTGACTACACACACATGCACCCAAGGAGCCCTGAGCCACTGCTCATGGCTTCGCCCTGGTTTCCGCTGGCAGATTCTGGCCTCCTTGGGCCCACGCTTGGAGCACAAATGTAGACACCTCCAAGGCGCAGGGGTGAGGCCAGAGCACCTGCCTGAGCAAGAAGGTGTGGACCACCAGACTGACGCCCCCAGCAAAAGGGCCTATATGATGCAATAACAGTTTATTTAAAGGCTATCTTCCTAGCCCTATCTTTAAAATACAAAAAAATAGACTTTATTCTCTTAAAAATACATTCCATTCAGTACATGTTCTGAGCTGTGAAGCAGCAGGAAAATAGGGCCCCGTTCCTATGATCTTGATTGAGGCTTTGAGGAGACCCCTGTTGCCCACCTGGGGTATTCAAAAGAAAATCCCTAAAAGCAGCTGTTCCAAAGCAGTCTTGTCAGAGTAGCAACAAAGAAACCCACACCACCAGACAGCCAGGGACCACCTCAGGGGTCTCCATCCCTGTTCCTTTGCTGGGAAGTGGCAGCACTTGGCACCATGACCCACTAAACCTAAGAACTAGGACAAGAAGTCCAATATCATGGCAGACCTCACCTCCACTTCCCTGCGAGAGGGGGATGGTTTGTGTGCAAGCTTGCCTGCAGCTGGGATCAGAGTCCTGCCCACAGGACTGGCCCCACAGATCCCTGCCTTAACCCACACACTCAGCTGTTTCACTGCCACTAAGAAGCAAAACCTACCTCCAGGTGGTCTACCATCTGCCCCACAGCATCAGAGTGGCAAGAGACAGTGACAGGTGAAGCCCAGCCCTTGGCATCCAGCCAGCTCTGCTGCCTCACAACCAAGCAGCTACGCAGGGCCAGGCTCTCCAGCCATCCTAGGAGTAGCCCCGCAACCCTACACCTGAAACAGCTGAGCAAGCTGCAGAGATGGCTTGGCATAAAAGTGGGTTGGCTGGGACATGGGACTATTTGGCTTAGACAACTATTCAATTACCAGGCTCCCCTCTGCTGGAGGCTTCCTCCAGGACCCCCAGTTATGAACACTGGATCCAAATGGCCACACCTTTATTGCTGTTCAGAAATGTGCCTTCCAATTTCGGAACCTGGGAGCCAGCCTTGCCAGCCACGTGAAGCCCGGAGGAACTGTACCTCTAGTCTTCACTTGCTAATACACACTTTCTGCAATGCTGAGGATATTCAAAAATAAAATATTTTACAGCGGTTCTATAAAGTGTGCAGATTAAGAAACAAAATATTTATCCTGAAGTAATGGTTACAATCAAACCTTATTGCACTCAGATTTCTAAACAGCAGCCCCCGTAAAAGGGCACCACAGCTGTCCCTTTTCCACACAGCATTCTGAGTAGCTGCAGATGTCGGCACTGCTAAACTGTGGAAAGATCCAGACTTTGGCACCAGGAGCTACAGCACCAGAATCTAGGGCTCCAACACCCAAAGACAAAAAAATATTGGCGAGATCTTTTTCAGCATGGCTTGGCGTTCTGTTTCCATCAGCAGAAAGTGACACAGAGTTTCCTATGCTCAACTGACCACTGCAGAGCTCAGTTTCCTTTGAACTCTCAGGGCTGCCATCAGGTGGAGGGGAACAGTGGAGAAGCTGCAAGTGAGGCCTGCAGCCTCAACTGACTGAGCAGGCTGCTGGCCAGTGACCCGGGAGAAGCAGCAGAGGAAATCTGGAAAACAGCATCCTACACTGTGCATCTACGGTGGAATGTGGGGAGAAAAGGCAAACCATGAAACAAGGCAAGCCCTTAAGTTGGCAAAACTCCAGGGAACACAAGTATGCGCAAGACGTCCTGTCCAACAGTAAGGCAAGTGCTCTCCAAGCCTCAGAGCAGCGCAGTCTGATGCAGACAAGGGCAGGATGAACACTGGCGCTGGTGCACAGTGGCGGCTGGGGCACCACTCGTGGTCCTCCCGAGGAAGTCCCGATGTTCTTGCCCTCTTCCTAGGAAATCCACAGGACAGGGCACAGAACAGACGCGCACTAGAAGGTACCTGGCCTAGAAGTCAGGGGCTGACGCATATGGCACTGGGCACGGCCTCACTGTCCAGTCCCTTCCCTTTAGATACTGGGAACAGAGGCCTGAGCAGCTTCTCTGGGCTCACCCCGTGAGACACACACGTGGAATGACCCACGCAGAAGACCCAAGAGGGAAGATGCTTCCCCAGGCTTCTGTGCACAGTGAGAACTGGCCCGCAGTGGAGACTGAATCTTGAATTCCAGATTGATCATCCACTTCAAAGAGCTCACTTTACAGACAAGAAAACAGGTTCCTAGAGGACAAAGACTCACCCAAGGTTACACAGCAAGGAGTAATCAAGCCTCAGAAAAAAACCCAGCTTGCTAGACTCCTAGTCTAACGCTCTCTTGCAGCTGAAAGCAATGGCATCTGCTGTGTACAAGTAGCCTTTAAAGGAGATTGCTTGTTTATGCTGGGAAAATGCTGGAGAAAAAGCAGTGCCACGAATGTAGCTTGTAACTTCCCTGTGTGACTGGTATAAGGAAAATAGTTGATTTTTTTTTTCAATGTGGCTTCCTGAAAGATTTGCTGCACTCTGAGCTGTATAAACCTGAGGTCCTCAATGGGAGATCATTTTCCTTCAGTGAAGTCACTGTAATGATAGTCGACTTGCAGGAATCGGGCCCACTTCTGTAGGAATGCATCAGCGCGGTAAAGTGCGAAGCCTCCTCCGTGTGGGATGGCGGAGGAGGAAGAGGGAGGAGTCTCAGTCAGTGCCTTCCATGGAGCTATTGCTTGTGGAGTGACTAAAGGGAAGCCGCTTCTTCCTGCCAGCTTTCCCCTTGCCGGGCACTTCCTAGAAGGCAGGGTACGCTGGGTCAGGCAGGCCCAGCTCAGCCAGGGAATTTTTCCCAAAATGGGAACAATGATGTCAGCTGAAGTCTCCAACCACAGGAGAGGATACAGTTTCACCCAGCAGCATTATGGGTGCTCAAGGAAGGGGACGCATGAGGCTCGAGCACTTCTGATGCCTTTGGAAGGTGAGCAGAGAGCTGGGGTGGGGGTAGGGTGTCATTCCAATAGGAATCTGCATGCTCTGCCCCCACGAAACTGGTCAGCCAGGGGGCCAGGTCAGAGAATCCTCAGCCTACAAGGTGGCCCCATAATCCCTCAGGCAGCGCAGATCCTTCTGCTTTCAAAGTCTGAGGAAAAGAACTCCAAGGGGAGAAGGAAGGAAGCTCCCCAGATGGAGCTGATGGCTGATAATTCTTAGTGGGCACGTGGGCCCTCAGCACAGGCAAGGAGCGAACTGGAAGTGGTGAGGAGACGGAGAAGGCATTAACCACACAGAGAAGAGGGTACTCTAAGATACAGAAAACACCCACCCGGGAGCAGAGAATTTTGGCTACTGTTGATGGTGGGAGGTTTCTGTATCTCCCCACTTGGGGAGCCAACATGGTGTATGCTACCTTGGGGACAGGGACAAGGAAAGAGGACTCATGCATCAGGAAAGGCTGGGGCCTGGGTGATTGTCCAGGTTGTAGTCTGTGATCCCCTCTGGCCAACCGGCAAGAATCACCTGAGCCACACCCCAGCTCTCTACCAGTCTCCTAGCCAAGGCCTTGTCTCCAGCTGGATGACTGATGTTAGGATACTTCCCAGGGCAGGAGGTGGAAGAGCCGAGAAGCAGAAGCAGAGGAGAGAGCAGACTTCACCCAGCTACCTCAGTTCTCCTCAGCACAAGGCCTAGTTGGCCGTAATCGCTCTTCAGCCCGAATTCGCCCAAGCTCTGGCAGCCCCGGCTTTGCTGGGGGCTCAGACCGCTCCAGGGAGTTGTGCAGTCGCCTGTGGACACTGAGTGTGCAGTCTTCACTTTCCTCCTGTGTCAATAGAAAGAAGTGACAAAAGTGAGCTACAGAAGACAGCAGAGTGGAGAAGACAACATCCACACATCCCAGCAAAGTGGGTCTCTTCCAACCTGGCACAGGCAGGAAGACCACAAAATTATTGCGAAGATATTTTGGCCTTACAAATCAGGATAAACCAGGAACTCCAAGGTGATAGAGACAGCCATAGGCCAGGGAGCCTTAGTCTAGCACAGAGCACAGAAAGGGAGCATGTGCATTCACACACGCAGTGTTCTGCTGGGCTCAGAGCCATTTCCTTGGTGGATGCAGGGAGTACGGAGAAAAGGCTGGAGAGCTTTGACTACACTCCCCGAAGTGCCTTGCCTTCCCCTGTGTATTCTGTGCCTGCCCCTCTACTATAACTCCTCTTGGAGATGCAGTTTCAGGGCTCTGAGCACCCATCTTCTCCAGTTTGTTCTGGAATTCTGCTTATTAATGTTCTCTTTTTGTCTTTCCAAGTAAGTGCAGATCAAAGACATAATGAAAGTGTAAGTTGGCTCTTCCAGGAATTCACCTGGGTGGCCTTGTTAAGGTACTTTGTATCTGTGACCCTCAGCTTCTGTGTCTGGAAAATGGGGATATTATCTGCCCACAAGGCTGTTGGAAGGATGCAATGACGGTGGGTGGGTGGTGTTCTGTCCATTCTGCAGACTCGCAGGCTCTTGCAGTTAACCTCGCCAAGTGGTGGGCAACGCCAGGGGTAAGACATCTGTCATGGTCACAGGCTCCATAGCTAAAGATACTGCCGGGGCTTCTCCTTCAGATACCAAGCTCACACTCTGACCCTAAGATAAGACAGGTGGCTCTAGACTGAACCATTCTGAACCAGCCAGGGCCTAAGCTGAACATAATGAGCAAGAGGGCAGGGAAAGAGGCACGGAAACTTGTCAGTCCCCATGTCCCTGCTCCAGGACAGCTCCTTAGGAGCCACTGCAGGCCCCAGCTGCTGCTCTGGCAGCTCTGCAGAGGGCCTGCTCCCCCTGTTCTGGTAAAGCAAGAGAACAGAGGCAAGAGAGGGCGAAGTGGAGACAAAAGACCGGAAAGGGGATGTTGGAAAGTCATGCTGTGCCCTGCCAAACCCACCTGCTAGCAGCAAGGGTCTGAGCTACCCACCTCTCCCAGGGTTGGCTAGTCCCAGCTCCCCAACCCTTATGCAGACCAGGGTAGAGGGAAGGGAGCAGAAAGGAGAGGAGCGGCGGGACTCACCGTGGCTGTGGAATGGTTCCAGGCTGCAGCCATGACCATGTCTCCTGCCTGACTGTGATGGGTGAGCACCTCAGACACCGTGAGGCTACTTTGTGTCCTTCGGGAGGAAAGCTCAGCTGCATCCCCCGAGCTTCCTACCCTTCCAGCACCTGACTCAGAAAGGTGGGATCTGAGCTGTTCAAGTTCTGAGAAGTCTGTGGAAGACCTCTGGAGGTGGGAGTTAGGAGATTCCATGTTTCGACCTGCTTGAGTTGGAGGCTCGTCTACAGATTTCAAGTCTCGTTTACTCTTCCAGGCGTTGCGCACAGTGACGTGCCTGGCATCCGAGGAACCCATCTCAGAAGGGGCGCTGTGGCTTTTCCACCTGATTGTCTCTGCAGGGATGGCATGGCTGTTCCTCTCCACAGAATCCGATGGCTTGATCAGAATGCTGCTCCGAGACACGACCGTGTCCAGTCTACTCCTCGAGGGCCCATCCCCTAGTCTTTCAGCTTCTGTGAGCTGCACAGTGATGTCATGTTTATGAATGGAAAGCTCAAACGGGGAGTTGACATGGCTGCCAACGGGGATAAGCTCCGGGGGCCCAACCTGGATGTTGCTGGTGGACGTGTGCCTCTCCCTCAGGGCCTCACCTGGGCTGGCTCGAGGGCCGCTGTCAGAGGGGTAGATAGTAATGCTGCTTGTCACTTTGTTTGGTCCCGGCCTACAGGCAGATTTCTGTTTCTCTAGCACAGCCTCACTTCCAGACCCTCCCATGATTTTTTTCACGTTCTTATCTATGATAACAGGTTTGATGACACCTCTAGACCGCAAGGCTTCCCTGGGACTGAAGGGTCTCTGGCTTTTCACCCCTGTGCCACTGGCATCTGGGAGTTCCATGGCATTGCTAGAGGCTCTGATGGGTTTTACAGATTCATTTTCGCTCCCCGCATTTTTATCATTCTCAAATAGGGAGGCTCTGTGTTCCCCTCGGGATCTGGCCTTTTCTCTAGAGTTGGGTGGTAGTTTGGGCTCAGGCTCGGGAGTGATGGTTGTGTTCACCAACTTGGCAGTGACCAGAGATGCCACGTCCAAGTCATCGTCCGACTCGGGCTTCTCTCCGCCACTAGATTTGATGACTCGACACCTCAGGGCTTCGTGCTGACTGCTATCTTCCATCATAACTGCTACAGGCTGCTCGACTTCTTTATTTGGGGTTGAAAAGCCCGGAAGGACGCTCTCCTGGCTCCTGGAGCTATAAGGGTACTTGGATAAAACAGTCTTAGAACTGGGGCAACCAACATCGGCTTCCAGGCCATTGGTAGCCTTTTTACCTTTAGTGAGTCCTTCTGCAGATAACCTTCGAGCTGAGGCCAGAGCTCCAACAGTCTTAGAGCACACGGGGTCTGTGGCCTGAGTCATCTGGCTTCCACTGCCAAGAACCTGTCCTCGCTTGCCAGGTTGGGCCTCTGACGAGAGGTCTGAAGCCTTGTCAACTCTACCCAATGCATCACCAGGAACAGACCCATGCGTGGAGTTACTAAATGTCCGTGTTGTCTTCTCCACTTTTCCCTTCAGCCCACTCTCGGTGCCTGGTTTGTGAGTTCCTTTCCAGACTTTATTGTGCTCCTGGGCCGCCGGGGGGTAGCGGCTAAGCACCGACGGCTGCTCCCTGGCCTTCTTCCCTTCGCTCTGGGAAGATCCAGGGGCAAATCGGTCTTCAGTTCTCTTGGTCTCCTGAGCGCCACTGTCTGTGCCTGCCCCCATGTTGGAGGCTTTGGCCGCCCTCCTGCTGGTGAAAGTGGGAGAGGAAACCTGCCTGCTGCTCGTGGAGTAGTTTTCACTGCTGAAAGCCTCTTTGTTTCGGAGCCTTTCTCGCTTATGCTGAGGAGATAGGTCCCGGGATGCGTGCCTGGCCACGCACGCATCCCCACCATGGCCTCTAAACTTAGTCCTCTCATGCCTGCCTTTGCTGGACAGAAAAGCATCTTCCCCTTCTATTTCTCCATTTTCTAACTCTTTCTGTTTCTTGATTTGTAGCTTTATCTCTTCCAGCTGACTGGCTAAGATTTTGTTTTTATTTTGCTCACTCAAGTAGTTATCTTGAAGGTCATTGTTTTTGGCCCTCATTTTCTTAAGCTCCTCTTCCAAGGATTCAAAATGTTTGATTTGCGTCTTAAGCTTCTCAATTTCTTGATTAAGGTCTTTGACTTTGTTGTCCTCCTGATTCCGGTTCTTTTCATTTTCTGATTTGTTTCTGGTTTCGTTCTCCACCTGCTTTAGGTAGTCCAGAGCCCCCTTCCTTCTCGAGTCCTTGGATGGCAGTGTGGAAGAGATACCATCCTCAATCCGCAGGTCATTCCTTTCCAGAAGATTAGAAGCGTTCCTCGTATAATCTCTGTTCATCTTCTTGTTCTGCTCCAGTTTCTGGGTGAGCTCTTTAATCAATTTCTCATTTTCTTTCTCCTTTTCATTCAAGTATTTCCTCTCACTGACAAAGCTCAGTGTTAATGACTTCAGCTTTTCTAGCTCTGACACTAAATTTTGCTCAGTTTTATCCAGGCGGTCCTCAGAAGATTCCAGTTCTTTCACTTTGACTCTAAGCATTTCCAGCTCAGAGGAGATTTTCTTGGTCAGATTTCTCTCCTCATTGAGGCTCAGACAAAGCTGGGTGCAGTCATTCTTGCTCCTACTAAAGGCCTCCTCTAGCTTCTCCAGCTCGGCCATGCGCTTCTGAAGCCGTTCAATCTCAGATTTCAGCTCCCGGGTCAGGTTTTCTTCCTCCTCAAGCTTCTCCTTCATCAGGTGACACAAATCCTCTGCTTTCTTGATTTCCTCATCTTTACCTTCAATCCTCAGCACCTGCTGGCGCAGTGCTTCGATCTCAGCCAGCATGCTGGAGTTGCTGCCCTCCGCCTGGATCACCTTGTCCTGGAGGTCCAGGAGCTCATCCTCCGCCTTCTGGAGGTTTTTGGTGGCCTCCTCCAACTCATCAAGGCGCCGGCTCAGGCTCTGTAACTTAAACCGCAGGTGGCGGCTGGAGGCAGTGTCCTTGTAGCTTGCAACTTCAGCCATGTCTACTGCCAGCCAACGTGGGCTCCCAGAGGCATCCAATTCCACTTGCGAGGACGAGAAACGGTTACCTTTCTCTTGGCATCCACAGCCTCCGCTGGCAGCTGAAGACCATTATCGGTCTAGACAAGGAAAGCAGAGATCACAGCAGTCAGCAAATATAAAACCTGAACTTTAGATCTCACTTGTAAAAAAAAAGAGTTCCCTGGCCCCATCTATAATCCTCGTGCCTAGGACCTAAGAGCTGCTCAGTCAGATTCGCTGAGTGAATGATCTTGAGCAAACCCACATAAGAACACTGATTTGTCGTGGCCAACACTGAGCTGATGCGTAGTTTCACCATGGTGAAGAATGCTAGCACTGACTGTGGGAACGAAGAGGCCGGAGGGCCACTTCTCACAGAGGGAGAATCCTTAAGCCTTTCTATCCACTATTAAGTAAACTGAGCTTCAGTTTTAAGTGAATGAGGATAGTGATGGCTACACACTGCATCTCTGCCTGGTGATGTTCAGAGATACCACGTGGAAAGCTCTTGGCAACAAGGCACTAAATTCTGAGATTATTATAAGGAAATGTTAGAAATTAATCTATCCAGCTCAATACATAAATGGTGAGCTTTACACAGTGCTAACAGTCTCCACACGTGTTTCTTTTTAAGTGGGAGTCCAGTGCAACCAGACCCTGACTAGCCAATAGGCAGCTTCTAGAAAATTTATCTTCGCATTATAATGGAAATGCTCATTCAGCCTGAGGTGAAGAAAGCTTTATTTCTTTGAAAACCATTCCACTGGGGATACAGACTGAGCATCATAGGTTACTCAAAGGAAAGGGAGAAAAGTCTAAGTGAATTGTGGCTTTGTATGTTACTATGGCTGGCCCTAGAGATGCCCCAAAGCGTCATGCAGCTGTAAGTGTAGGCTTTTCAGAGGCGGGTGGATCTAGAATGTGTGATGCTGGGATCGATGGTGTGTGGTTACTGAATTAGTCCACTGACTGGAGTGGCAGAATTCTGGGTAGAATTAAGAGTGCCGCCCCCTGGGTGTGAGTGCTATCCCCCCACCTTAGGGGCCTGCCACCCCGGATAAAATATAGGAGAGAGGGTCGCTGCTTGGCTGCCTGTCGCTGCTTGCTTATTGCTGCTTGTCTTTGGCTGCCTCTGCCGGCTCTGTGATGTCCCTCTGTGGTGCCACCTGCCTTGGAGCCAGCCGGTTATGAACTAAAACCTCTACAAATTGTGAGCTACAATCAACTGTTCACCTCCTTAACTTTGAGGGTTGAGTATTTTCTGTCTCAGCAATGAGAAAAGTGACCAAAATATATCATTTTCTCATTCATAAAAAACAAGGATTAATACAAGTATTTTAAAATAAAGACTAACTTTATACTGTGACTGAGCAAAGTACCAGTAGGAACCAAAGTTAATAGGATTATTGACTAGAAACCATACAATAACTATATTCCAGTGTTTGAAATTATAAAAAGAGAAAGCAAAAAGATGCTATCAACAAAGATCATGATTGGAAAAATCAATCAGAACTAGAAATAGTACAAAAATAACACATTATATGCAAAGAGAAAATATAAGATGTAATTAAAAAACACAGTGAATGTTTAATTTTTTAAAAACTGTTACAGCAAAAGACACACCCTTAAAGTCCGCCCCCAAAGTCCTTGGCTTCTCTTCTAACACACTTCTCTCCCGGCATTCCTGCCACTTTCCGAGGCAGTTCTGGAAGTCCTCTTTCAGTGTCTTTAGTTCCACTGTTGTGGCTGCCTCAGTGTCCTGAACTGATTCAAAACCTCCGTGTTTCATAGTCATTTTGATGACAGAGGAGCATCAGAAGTCATACGGCGCTAGGTCCAGGGGACGGCAGCACGCGTCTCTCCCTGCTCAACTTCCTATCGGAGGACACCTGGCAGCTGCGTTCACCTACTTTTGATCATACCTTGTAACGGCCTCACAAAGAGGACTTCCAGACCTGCTTTGCAAATTGACAAAAATGGCACAGAAAGTGCATTTTAAGCAAGAGGGAGGATTTTGAAGAGGATGAGTGGCAATTTGTCTTTTACCCTAATACATTTTTTAATTTAAACTTTCACTTTTTTAAAATCCTACTTCATAGTAGTCATAAAGATATTACGGATTACAAAAAGCAGCAGAGTTAAAAAAAAAAAAAAGATGGAAAAAGTGAGAAAGAAATTGACAGATAAGAAGAATAAAGAGGTTCTGCCCAGTGTGCCTGCAGGCCCCTCCCCCAGGGCGCACTGAGACTGGGTGTGGTGCCCAGCCTGTAATCCCAGCGTTCGGGAGGCTGAAAACAGGAGGATCACTATTATGAGTCCGATATGTGTCATGAGACCCTGTAGACCCTATACTAACTAAATACATAAAAAGCGGGGGGGAAGAGGTTCAAAACTAGTAAGTTCAACAGGCAACTCAAAAGGATGAAATAAAGAATAGGAACATACAATATTTAAAGAAATACTCATGAAGAATTTTCAAGAGCTGGTAAAAGGAACCTCATATTTAAGAAGCAAAGTCCAAAACAGAAGACTATTAAATCTATAACTAAGTGCACTACAAGGATAGAGAAGAACCCCAAACAGAGATCTTATAAAAGCAACAAGTTTTAAAAAGACAATTATCTGTCTGCTGTGCTGCTATAATAAAACCTCTAATGGATGGTTCCTTAAATACTTGTACCCTCATATGACAGATGGGGCAGAGGGAAAAAGGCTCCAACTCTCTCCCGCAAGCCCTTCTGTAACAGCCCTAATCCCACCCGAGGCTGCCACACAGAGGGGCTCAGCACTGCTTAAAGGCCCCGCCTCCTCAGTCTGTTGCACAGGGATGCAGTGTCCAACACCACTTCTGGAGGAGGCCACAAACATTCCAACTACAGCAATAACCTAGGATGAAATAGCAACTGCACCAACCTCTTCTCAGGAGAAACTTCTTAAGTAGGAGGCAAGCAGAAGATAAAAGACATGGTAACACCTGTAAAGTTCTAAAAGAAAGGAACTGTTAACCTACAACTACATACCCAACTAAATTAGGAAAGTTAACAGCTAATTTAATTTAAATGGTTGACTCATTGGCACTACTAAGGAGCTGGACAAGAGGCGCGTGTACAGACTGCTCCAGCAAACAACACAAAATGACATATTCTTCTCAAGCTTATCTGTAACACTCACCAAAACAGAACACATTCTGAAACTAGAAACACTTTCAGAGTATGTAAAAGGAAAATAAAAATCTCATAATGTACTGGCAAACCCCTCACTAAAAGAACTTCACTAATTGCTTTAGTAAAACATCTTCAGATAGCAAAAACTAGCTGGGCATGGTGACAGAAGCCTGTAATTCCAACACTCTGGAAGGCTGATGCTGGAGGATCCAAAGTTCAAAGCCAGCCTGGGCACTTTAGTGACTTAAAACCCTGTCTCAAAATAAAAAACAAAAAGGGCTGAAGATGTAGCTTAGTGAGAAGGCTCCCTTGGGTCTGCCTGAGGATTGTCGCAGCACAGCACCCCTTGCCCCCCCCAAAAAAAAACAAAAATTTATCCTTTAAAGAAGGCAGAGGTTGAAGAAGGAATAGTAAGCAAATCAATGAACCCAAATAAACACTGGTTCAGTTAAATAATAAAAGTCAAGACTGGGCGTGGTGGTGTGCCTAAATCCTAGAGCTTGGGAGGCTGAAAACAGGAGGATCACTGCAGTCCAATCTACATAATGAGACCCTGTAGACCCTGTATTAAATGCATTTAAAAAAAAAAAAGTTTTAAATTTTAAAAAAAATCAATGGGGTAAGAAGGCACAGGATAAAATGAAAACATCTGTTTATGTAGACTGGGGTCCAAAAATACTAGACAACGATAACTTGTAAATCATATAGACAAGAATCAGAACCTAAGACCTCTGAAGATTGTATTGTTCAGGAAAAAGAGTTATACTAACTTTTGACTTTAGACTAAGAATAGATGTTAATCATATTTGATAAGCTAAAATTCAGCATATATACAGAAGTTCTACCACTCAACAATTATTCAACTCATGCTGAATACAATCAGCATTAAGTAAAAGAAAAGCAATAAAAAATTAGAAATGAAATTGAAACACAAAGTCAATAGAGGGGGAAGAATCAAAACCAGGAGATCAAAAAAATTTAAAAAAAATTAAAAACCAAAAAATCAAAAAACTCAAACTTTAGCAGAGTAAGAAACGGAAACACAGCATATTACTAGGATCAGAAATTAAAGCGAAAACATCACTACAAATCTTATGGATATTTTAAGGATAATAAAGGAATTAATGAACAATTTTATGACCACAAATTTGATAACCTAGACAAATGGACCAGTTCCTTTAAAGTCACAATCTGTCCAAACACATACAATGGACAATCTGAACGTGACCATAGCCACTGGAGAAACTGAATCATTCATAACTCTCCAACAGAATGAACTAGACCCATATGCAGGTTCACTGGGGAATACTACCAAGCATTTAAAGAGAAAACTATACCCATTTTCTACAATTTCTTCCACAAGAAGAGAGCAGCAGGATTACTTCCTAGCTCATTCTATGATAACAAAACCAAACACATTACAAGGTACGAAAATCACAACCAAATATCTCTCATAAATGTAAATGCAAAGATCTTCAACAAAATATAAGCGAATCAAATCTAACAATGTATAAAAATAACACACAACAACCAATTGGGATCTATCCCTGCTATCCAATAGTGCTCAACATCTGAAAATCAGCTAATGTAATTCACATCAATAGATTAAAGAAGAAAAATAATCAGAATGCTGTTGTGCTCACTTTGAATCCTAGCTCCTCGCCAGTAACCCTAATATTGGGAGACTGAGGCAAGAGAATCACAGGTTTAAGGCCAGCTTGGGCAGCTTAACAAGAGCCTGTCTCAAAATTAACAAAAAATTTAAGGGTCTGGAAACACATTTCAGTGGATTTTTAGTGTGTTCAAAATACATGGTGAAGGGCTGGCGAGATAGCTCAGCAGACTAAAGGGTGTGTTTGGACAGGCGCAGGGACTTAATTGCCCCGTCCCCAGGGTGCACTGAGATGGCAATTGAGATCAGGTTGTAATCCCAG